ATCACATGACAAGGGCATGCCCTTTGGACTTGAGGCATGCCCATAGGCATGCCCCATGCCTTGTGCCCTGAACTCTACGGGTAACCCTCACATCATATAAAATTTATATATAATATCAATACCTCACATCATAGTATATGTTAATTGATATTCTAACACTAATGCGCCTGCAGCTCATTACAGCATTAGTGATGACCCTTCTTTATGACTCATTGAGTATGATCTCGCATAATACAAACCATGCACCATTTTAGAACTTTAGGATTAATACACTAACGCTAATACATAAAGCTCCTAATATTAATTATATAAATTAAATGTTATGGCGAGTTTTTTAATAAAAGCTGTGTTGATTAGTGATAGAATAGAATTACTATTTAGAAAATGAAGAATGAAGTTTCGCTAATATTAATTTGATCGACGCAAATTAGCCAATCATACGAATGCCTTTTTAATGAACGTTACAACACTACGGCACTGTGAAAAGTCTGATATGTTTATTAGTTATTCATGAATAAATTTAAACAATTTGGGAATTCTGTTCGAAATAATCTTAGAGTCGGTCAAGGATCGGCTTTGACAAATCGTGTGACTACCAAAATTAACCGAAAATAATTAAATAATTAAAAACTCAAATGCAAAATGCTAAAATCATTATCAAATGTAAAGTATGCTAAATTCGAAACAAATAAACTCTTCGCTAAATGCTAAATTTGATGAATATTGACATTATACGAAATTTGTATTTTATGGGCGTTGCTAGAGTTGGTAATTATCTATTTATGTTCATTACTGTTACATTTTCACTTGTTCAGCTGAAGTTGAAAAGCGGGTGTCTTTATAGTAAAAATTTCCAGCTTCAGCCGCCGTGAATATTGCAAAAATCGCATTCAATTCTAATAGACTGATATGAATAAACTTATATTATGATTTTAACATATGACAGTTATTAAATTATGTAAAAATTCTAAAAACATGGTAGACTACTGATATGCTTAAAAATATAAAAATTAGCAGACAATTTTTTAACCGTATAAAATACATTATATTATGAAATGATGATGAACTTTAAAGTAATAGTTTCATGCTACTAAAATTTTAATATATAGCACTAACCTTTTTCGCAGAATTAAGTTTACTGAAATTACCAGAAACAAATAATTTATGGATATAATATACATGCTAATATACACCTAGTTCTTCTCCAACCTTTTTTAAGCATTCTTTCAACAAGGTCAAAATATTTTCATCTGGTAAAGAAATAGCATCACATATCACCGGATATAGATAAAATAAATGCGCAATTGGTCCAGATAAAATTTGTTTCGTTATAGGATCTAAAATTGTTTATACAAATAAAGTTCAAGTAAAGTTATAATATAATAAAGATTAGCATTAAATACTCACTAGCTGTTTCTTCTTCCTCAAAACGTATAATATTTTTTCGAAATCGCAACTTGATTAATTGTTGTAAGATTAACAGTATTTCATCATTCCGTACCCTGGAAGAAAGGCTAAATGTTTGTAAATCGTGTAGTATTAACCAATCCGCTAAACATGGAATTTACTCCAAATAAAAAAGATAAAAAAAACCATCATATATCAACTAAATAACAAAACAGACCTTGGAAACGGAAATTTGCCCGACAGAGGTTGATCAGCTGTATAATTCCGAATTACAGATGCACATCGCTCTAATAAAATGGGAGCTGCAACTTCTGCTATCCGCTGCCGTACCGAAAAGTCATCTATTATAAAAAAAAAAAAGATATATGAATGTATTTAAACGAAATAAAAAAAAAAATAGAAATAAACGAATAATGTATACCTTCATATTCAGCAGAACATAGATCGAATAAACATTGCAGGCAAGCGTATGCAAACCGTTCTCGTGCCACTGGGCTTATTAATACTGTTACTCCTTCAACTTTTTCTAATTGTTTGGCATGTGTTGTTCTCTCAATATTTGACGTTGTCGAAGTTTTATTTAGATGTCCGTTAACCGCTTCTTGTCTTTCAATATCAGTAGAATATAATTGTGATCCCTCTCGGAGTGTTTCAACAATATCACGTATAAGAGTTTGTGGTACGCGAGGACGACCCATATGAATTATCACTTCTGTCTGAAGGTTAAAAAGAAACTTCATGTCGAATGCCTCATTTGTGTCTTGTTGTTCTAAATTAATAGTAGGTGGAGGTTTTCTAACAATGAAGTAATTAAATTAATCTTAATCACAATATATATACCAAAATCTGTTATTTTAAGAATTTAAAATACCCGACAGTTATTAGCGCGTCATGAAGAACACTAGATAGTTGTTTCCATATATCTACGAAACATTCATCTGAAATATCTGTAAAGAAGGCGTGTTAGCAATCATATAGTGATGTAATAAAAAAAAATAATAAAATAAATACCTTTATCAAAACTTTCTAATGCAATTAACCCTTCTTTTACAACATCTAAAAATGCATTAGCTGCGATTTTCCAAAGTTCGATGTCATTTATGTGTTTTCCAGATGGTGGACAGTCATATTTCATTTTCATAGGTATACCGTATGCCTATAATATTTGAAACCAAAAATTGTGATTTATTTTAGTAATAACAAATATATTATATACATACATATAATTTAAAAACTTACCCAAATTATTTTCTTAAAGACACCTTCCGCGTAAATTCCTTGATCTTTCACAAATTTTTTAAATAAATCATTAACTGCACGCATGGCAGTCTTTGAAAAAACAATATAGGTAACTGTTGGGAATGATTTTTTAGACGATACGCTTTCTTTATCTGATACTTTAGAACCTTTTGTGGATATTTGTTCTTTCTTATTCTTTGCCATTTCAGGTGCTTCTTCAATCCAATATTGCTTTGTGAAAGCTAAAGTAATATAATCTGCAAAATCACTTAAAACTACCGCGGGAGCGCCTGATACATTTAAGTCAATTTGTCCTACAACATTCAATACTGCTTCTTGTAAAGGAGTGAGATAATCATAATCTGGTCTATACGAAGGACTATTCGAATAAGTCAATACTCCATAAGTAACCTTCAAAAATCTTTTTATCTCGTCGATTCCAAAATCAAGATTAATGACATTATAAAGATCCCCAAAGGCACTAACGTATGCAGTGAGTGTATCTTGTGTAAATTGCGATGAAATAGGAAATTCCAACGTTTCAGACGGTAATAAATCTCCATTATCCATATCAACATTATGAGTTCTTTTTTCTGACTTCGTTATAATACCCAACCCTATTGTTTCCCAAACTATCCATGCTGTTTGCCAATGTGGTAAAATCCTCTTCTTTAATTGATCAGTATGTGACTCATCTTTAGGAAATTGAATAATTGTATGAAAAGATTTAACAGCTGCAATCGCAACTTCATTGCTAGAGTGTAAACAATAATCTTGCAAATGTGAAAGAAACAATCCCCACACTTGTTTAAAATCATCTAAATCCACCAATATTGGTACAAAATTTTTAAATATTCCAGACATTCCAGTCAGAACCAATACTTTAGTTTCATCCCATTGCTTGTCAACAGTATTTCTTGAGTGATGAACCATAAAACCATTAAATTCCTTTTGAGATGTAAGTTTTTCAGAATTCGGATTTTGTTGTTGTTGTTGCATAACTTTAACAACTTTTTCTGAAACAAGTTTAACCGAATTTAGTAACGGAAACAATACTTGCCAAATACATGTATGCCAAGTTTGAATGTCTAGCACTGAACCGTTCATGTCAATGGTGCGGAATAAAGTTTGATTGGCCCCATTACGGACTTCTGGGCGAGAATCAGAACAGATTCTCGAAAGTTGTATCAATAATAACATCCAAAGCGCATTCATTGTATGAGATGTCAAATCACCTTTAATGATTCGTTCGATCTCTTGTTCAATAACAGCATTTTTTGTTATGGCTTTGACATCTTCATCATGTTTGTCAGGTGAATTTTCAAGGTCCGCACGTTTAGTTTGTATAAAATCAGAAACATTCCACAAAAGCCCAATAGCTGATAAACTAATATTTAAATCGTCCATTTGCAGACCATACGCTCCCAGCGTATTAATACATTGTTTTAAACATTCAGGAGATAATAATGATAAGAAATCCGTGCATATTAATTGTAGAGAGGGAAATGCTACACGAACCAATCCAGAAGATTTAGAGTTGGATACACCAAATGATCCATCAATTATGCTAACACTCTCCACACTTACAGTATCACCTTCATCGTCTCCTATTTCACCAGAGACATTTATTGTACATACACTTTTTATCATATCAAAAATCATACCCCACCCGAACGCAAATGAATGTCCAGATGTTTGTAATAATTTGTTCAAGGTTTCCAATCCCATTTTTTGAACTTCTACATAAAATCCTTTACTATAACCCCGAGTTGCTCTTTCTGGATCATTCACTAAATGACTTAACGAAGTAAGTAATTGCATTTGAATACGTTCATCATTTCCCATCTGCGCTGAACTCGTGTAGCTCATAGATGTAATAATAATATCTGACAAGGCTTCACAAGCTTGCATACGAACTTGTTGTGGAGTCGATATATAATTTGCAGTCGTTATTAAATTAGATACAATTAGATCCCAAATGAGTGCAGGTTCTCGTGCGATAAGGCGATGTATATTTGAGAGTGCAACGGTACGCAGCTTGTCAATAGCAAAGGACTTCTCATCACTTTTCTATATTTAATGTAAAACCTTAGTACAACGATAACCTACAAATAAATAAAAAATTGCTAGCTATACCTACATTTCCACGCAGATTACTTAATGGTGAAGTTTTCGGTGTTTTACCTTCCACAAATGTTGCTCCTTGACCATTTTCGGAGAGCTCACTAGCCAAAGGAACGCCATAGGTGTAAGCATTTAACTTACATAACGCACTAGTAAAAAATTGTATAGCAGAATCATCAAGAAGTTTGCAGTTGTCAAATAATTTTCTTATTTGTACCAACAAGATATTTAAATCATTTTCCATAGCTGTTTGTTGAGGGACTGAATTAGCTACAGACGACCCAGTTTGAGAAGACTGCACAGGCGTTTGAACTGAAAAATTCATAATTCCTGAATAAGGTCTTTTCACTGGAGCTGTTGACGCAGATTGAGCGAGTGATGATGAACTACTGCCAGCAGTTTGTGGAGAAGATAAAGATGATGTTGAAACAGACGCGGAAAGTTGCGTACCAACTCTACGGGTACCCCTAGAACCACCTCTGGCATGTTTAGGAAATATTATAAAATCTGCTAATTGTAATGTTTCCAGCACCAAATACCAAGAATCATCCAAGACTCCACCAAGATACTGTGCAATGTTCAATAGTATTTTGAGACAAGATAAATTTCTATCAGATAATGTAACCATTACCGTACCATCATAACCGGAACCAGTTGCACTTCCACTATTATGAGCTGCTTTGCTTTCTGCAACATATGCAGCGATTACACTAGGAGGAACGGCACCTTTACATAGGCTCGTCAAAAAGGCATCACACGGTGTTGAAAGCCGAAGAACACCACATACGATGGTAAAGTTTTGATATGCGCGTAAAACACCCTGAAACAACTCTTCATCAATATTCGCTGTAAGGAAAAATGATTGTGCCGCAAGTAACCCAGGCCATGCAGTATTTGCCATATCTGCAACGAGCAAAACTTCTTCATATTTGGGATGTGATTTGAGATGTTGTAATGTAGTATTTCCAAATATTGATTGCTGTTGTGTAGTGGAAATATGCTGTGATTCATCATGCTGCTGTTTCTGTATAACGTCGGCAAAAATTGACGATACAAAGTTGTGTAGACCATCAGCAATAGAATTAAGGCATACAAAAGCAAGATAATAAAGATATGTTTCCGGTATTTGTGGTGGGTCAGTTTTATCTAATTGATCAATACTTTATATAATATACATATATAAAGAGTAAGCAACAATAGTAGCCATCTTTTGAATTGAAAAAATAATAATAATTTACATACCATTGGATTTTCATTACAGAATTTACAATACTAAGCCCGGGAGAATCAACTTGTCCAACTCCTCCCATTACCACACCAGCCATTCCTGCCATATCCATGCTTTCTCTACCCTGATACAAATGTCCAATTAGCTGAGGCTTCTCTGTAGCCAATCTGCCAAAAGCATTTATCATATCTCTAAACACATTAGCGAAATGCCCTTGTCCATCATACCAGCGGTAAATTGAACGTAAAAGTGCACTATCAGAACAAATTCCGCGAAATATTTCCATTGAAATAACCCGCTGCCAATATATATTGTCAGGTTCAATGTTCTTAACAAACATAGCAAGGAATATTTCACACTCAGTCACCTTTTATAAAAATAATATAAAGTTTATTACTTTATTGTCTCGAATTCGTATACAGAGAATCAAACAAAAAATAACAGCACAATAATAAATGGTTACCAAAATATCACTGAATTGCTTAAGTAATATATATACAACTCGCATTAGTCGCATGGTTGTCGGAAAGTCGCTTTTATCAGCAAAACTTTTATTAATTAAAGGGCAAACGCGCTCCTGAAGTAAATACACAAATTCTTGATGCTATTAACAAGAATATATGTTAGCATTTCTTTTTTTTTGCTCTTTGAAAGCAATTAACGTATGGAGTGCGCAGTAGAAATAAGCCAAATTTTTTCTTGGTAATTGGTTTAAATTTTAAAAAAATTTTAAGTAAAATTGTTCGAATTTTTGGAATTTAAGAAAATTTTATTAATATTTGTTTTTGTTGAGTTATTATTGTTTAAAGTTTCAAAAAAATTTTACTTAGAAAAATTTGGCACATTTTTTACTGACTCACCTCATACATGAATTTAGTACTAATAAATTAACTACCGGTTTAAATAATTTCGAATGATTTGTCAATACAGACTCTATCAATTCCAAGCCAAATGTCCTTGATAAACCATGTAATCTAAGAAACATTGGTTGCTCAAAATTAGTCAATAAGCATAGATCTTGAAAGAGATTATAAGCATCTCTAGCACAAGGGCGAAGTGGAATGTTGCCTTTTCCCCTAATAGATATTACAGTCGATGTTGGTTGTATTGATCCTTTCAACAAAATTAATTACAAACTTGTATCAATAATGATAACAATGCTAATTCAGATAAATGCCAAATAAAGAAATATATACCATTTTTATCGTTTATTTCATCTTCCTCTTGAACTTTTTCAAAAATATTGATCACCAACTGGCGCAAAGTAGCAGCAGCAGTATTATTGACAACCAAAACTTTTGAATCTTGGAGTCGAAAACAAATTAGTAAAGCCTAAAAAAAAATCAAATTTAGAAATCAATAAGACAATGAACATTAAATATTTGCAATAGAATATACGAATAGAATGTTAGTCACCTCAGCAAGAAGATCTCCGTGCAACGCTTTATAATTACTCAATAATGGAGGGATGGTCTGCAAAATCTTTAGCTGAATTTCAACGCTTTGCGATAAAACGTCATTAAGGGTCTTGAGAATTGTTTTTACAGAAGACTAATAAAAGTACAGCATTCTAAATCAAAGAAGATCTATTGGTAATAATGATTACAATACAGTACCCTAAAAAGTGACAGGACATGCTCTCACCTCAGGAACAGCGCGATGAGATATTAATTTATGAAGACAGCCTATAGATATAGTAATCAATTTAACATGTTTCGTTTCGCAAGCAAGCAGAAATGGACGCAAAAAATCAGCATTTTTTGCTAGTTCTATTATAAATAAATCTAATTTTTAGTAAATATGCCATATTTATAAACCACACATATAATACTATATGAAACTATGAATAAATGCACATTACCTTGCGGCAAATCCACCCCAGGCTTGAGTGTCTTCAAAATTTTAACCGATCTTTCTGCAGCCTTTACAATTTAAACGAAATTGAGTTAAGTGGACTTATGCATGCAACAAGAAAGTTGCAAAAAAGAAAAAAAAATTACTTCTTTGATTTCTGGGTTTCTACGTTTAGATTCACCAGCAAGAGCTAGGAGCTCTGTGTTGAGTGAACTAGTTAACCCACTCATTTTCGTGAATTTTGTTTTGGTTTAAAAGATGACCGGAAAGCTGCAAACGCCAGAGACGCTGATCTCTTAATTGAAACAAAATTTTAAAGAATGATCCTATAAAGATTCAGGAGCTCTATAATCGTGTATGTTAATCACAGAAAATAAAAAAAATACAATTCTATTCTATCAAGTGTAATGATAATTATTAGGTTATGCGATATATTATTGATAAGAAAAAAGATGGCTTTAATGTCACACATTAAACACGTGAGAATTATTAAAAGCTAGAGTTAACTTTGGGAAAAGTTTAACTTAGCTAAAGACGGCTCGAAACAATTGCCGCCTTGATAAAGAGCTACATTAACCTGTATTCAGCTTAATATAACATGGTAAGGTGAAACCGATTACCCCGAGACCGAAATTCAGCACAGCCGAGATATTACCAATTAATAACCAGGCTAACGGCCGATATCTACAAAATTTTGGCCCGCATCACGTAACTGAAATTAAACCTTTTTATTCCAAAAATAGGGGTCGGCTAGAACGCGAGTTTTAGAGTTACCTTTTTGATGCAATTAGGGTTAAGAGGTTATATAGAATATCAAGAATATAATTTATGTAGTATGAAGATCATATATTGAATTAACACCGCTTTAGCCGCACCTTCCGGTTTTAATTAATATTAGGGTTAGAGTTAGACATAGGCTAGAAGGTTAGCGTTAATAGATATATAGTAAAACCGCATTTCTGAAACTTTTATTTAGTGCATCAAGACCAGGTAATTTCGTAAAGTATCAGGCTTTAAACGACCCCAAAAATAGAAATTTTTAGAGAATAGGCCTGCACAATGGTAAAATTAGCCCAGGATATTTTTGATCGTTGCTCTTAGCCAACCGACATCGTTGCGGCAGCTATGGTTAATCGCAGCATCCAATCAATTCACCGTTTGTCAGATAATCAATTATTGTCATCTATTACATACAGTATTGGGCTGACCAGACCAATTCGACCATTTGACCAGACCATTTTGACCAATGACCAGTCTGGTCAAGCATCTTTGACATTGGTCAAGTTGGTCAAGTGGTCTATTTATAAGAAAAAATTAACTGCATCATTAGTCATCCTTGTCTTCTTTGACAAGAATTTGTAAAGGAAAATTAAAAGAATTTGTGGGATTCTTTAGAAAAATATTTGTAACTTTAACTGGATGGATTTTATTTTTTACTTTAACAGAAATTATAAACAATTTGGCTAAATGATTGTCAGTTTCGGATAATGATTGATAAGAATACCCATAATATGTAAAAAGCTGTTTATATTTATTACAAAAATTTTGTACTTGTGTAAAATCAGAACTGTAAGATATGTAATAAATATCTTGAATTTCATTGTAATATTTAGTAAATTGTCTAGTAAGGGATTTGATAAACATTTTGAACAATTAAAATTCTAACTAGTACCAATGTCTAGTTAGATATATTTATTAAATATAATTAAGAGAAATAAATTTTTACAAAATATAAATCTAAATATCAATAATAAATTTGAGAACAATGTGAAAACACATAGTCATATGCATCATATCTATTATAATACTTTTGTGATATATTTTTTTTAATGTCGAATAGTTGTAGATCTTTTTCATTTATAAACAATACAATTTTATCATTAATGATTTGATCTTTATAGTTGTGAGAAACTTTGATCAAATTATCTGTAAAATATCTGCATTTTTTAAATTGACAAGGCCACTCATGTTTATCAAATTGAGTTGAATATGTGAGACTACAGATAAATTACATTTACAATAATTAAATTCTTGTTAGCAAACTATACAACATTAATAAAATAAACTTCTTTCTAACAATTTCAATATACTCCTCTATTAACTGAATAATTGTAATTATTAAATGTTTTAACAAATCTAATTTTATTTAACTTCTTGATTATACTTTCAGTTAAAGGTAAAATATTGAATTATCCTCTTTAATATAATTATAAAAAATAAGAAATTATAATTCACTATCATAAGACTTTGTTTTGTTTTCAATTAGTTAATGATTTGTTTTAATAAAATTGAAAAAAATTTAAAAATAATTTAAAAGTTTAATGATAAAAGAATTGATTGGTTGATATACTTTAATATAAATAATACAATAATTAAATTAAAATTATATAGAAAAAAAATCTACTCAGTTTTGAACTGAATAGATGGTAATTTAGTAATATATATAGAAGATTAAAAATGATATATTAGAGATTAAAATGTATACTTTTTAATTTGGTTCAATTGAGTATCAATTAATTTATCAATATCAGAAATAATATGGGGTCATTCATATTAAAAAGGCCCATTTTGCAATATAAACAATTTTGAGTAAATCAGGTTTAAAACATTTTGACATAATATGTGATCATCTAAAATTGTAATCTAAAAATAGCAACGCAACTGTTCTAGAAATTTTAAATCTCTAACAAATTAACCAATCATTTACATGCATATATTGTTTTAAAAATTTACTAGTAGTGAAAGTTTTCAAGTACAGTAGCTAAGTTTACATGCTAAAATAGGTTTTTTTTTTAAACTCTAGTAAATGGGTTCATGACTGCTAGTAATAGAAAAATACCAGTAAACTTATTGGATTGTGTTCAAAACTGCTGGTAACAAAGGTCTTCTTTAAGTTCTAACCTTAGGTTTAAAACTACCAGAATCAAAACTACCAGTTTTTTGAATTTCTTTGAATTGAGTTCATAACTACCAGGGTGAAGGTTTTCTTCAGATTATGGCAGATTCAACTACCAGTAACAAAGTGTTAAGTTCAAAACTACCGATAAAGATCTTTATTTTAAAAAAAATTGGATTGGGTTTATAACTATTAGTAACGAAGGTCTTTTTTAGATTCTAGTCTTGGGTTCAAAACTACTAGTAAAGATTTTTTTT